TCTTTCCTTGTGACGTATTATTGTGACGTATTTCCTCATGGAAAAAGAGAATCTTGCCCAATTGTCTTCACCTCACAGAGATGTTTGGAATCAAGGAGTTGAGAGTCTGAGTTGATTGGTTTGGAACCAGGACTATAAAGTAGCTTTGGCAGTTGGGATGGCCATTTGAGACCACAGCAAACAAGAAGAAATGGGCTTAAATAAATCAGAGAAAGTGATAGTAACTATGAAAGAAGGCTATGGAAGTTTTAATACTTAATCAGTTTTGTCCTAAATACTAGAGGCAGAGCAAGGTTCAAATATACTGTCAAAGTTTCAAGATCCTGGGGCGCGAGGGTGGCTCAGTCATTAAGCGTCTGCCTTCAGCTCAGGTCATGATCCCAGGGTCCTGGGATCGAGCCCCGCATCAGGCTCCCTGCTCCGTGGGAGCCTGCTTCTCCCTCTTCCACTCCCCCCTGCTTGTGTTCCCTCTCTCACTGTGTCTCTCTGTCAAATAAATAAAATCTTTAAAAAGAAAAAGTTTCAAGATCCCTAGATTGGTAAGAAATGGTCATTTAAAAATATACATTTGTTCAGAGAATTAGTTACCAGTGAATTGTGCTGATAGAGCTAAAGAACCCTTTCATGGTTTGTTCTCATTTGATACTCAAAACACTCATGAGGTGGCACTAATAATATGCCCTTTTTGCAGATAAGGAAACTTAGGCATAGATAGGCCAAGTGATTTGTCCATGATTCCATGAGTCTTTGGCAGAACTGTTTAACTCTGGAGCTCTGCTCTTAAAAACCTCACTTCACTGTTTCATTAGAGCACCAAGCCAGAAGCGCTCTGTGCAAACCAGAAGTACTTGATTCGGGGATGTTAAATATTAATTATGCAATGCTTTGTTGCTCTGCCAAGCTGATAAGTGAGAAAAAAATCTTATTTAAAATTTTTTAAATCTTCAATTCAACTAAAGATTATCATGTTGTTGGAATTACATTGATTGCCATCATTAATGATTGTGCCATATCTAATGATGCTTACAAGAGATAAATCACTGTTTCCTCCAAAAATTAAAAAAAAAAGGATCTGATATTATGAATCAGCTTCAAAATAGGTGATTGTGAAGACTAGTAAAACAGAGTCACCATGTTTCTGATTCTGAAACATCCATGGGAAGTGGAATGTCATGGTAGGACAAGTTCAGGCTTTGTAGTGAAGTAGAGTGGGTTACTGGGTTTAAATGCTGGTAATGCCATGTGACAACATTATTGCTTAAGTCTGGTATTCACTCTCTCTGAATCTCGGTTTTCTTAGATGCTTAGCGAGGATAAAAATGCCCACCTCTTGGGCTCAGGCCTAGGATTAAACAAAATGTGTGACATTTGGTACCTATAGTATGAATACAGTAAATGAAGGCTGATATTATTTTTATATTCAGAGTCAATGGAAGGAATTAGCTATGAAAATTCCAAAATGATTCCATCATACCATCTTTGGATATTACATTTTACTAGTGAGGACATGTGGGCTTCCCAAGGCTCAGAGATGGGATGGTGGAATGTTCTTTCATTGAGAGAGATTAGAACAACTTTATAAATTTTTGTGAATGTATTAGTTTTCTATTGCTGCTTCAACAAATTATCACAAGCTTAGCTGCTTAAAACAGCACAAATTTTACACCTGAAAATAATATAACCTTGTATATCGATTATATTTCAATAAAAGCCCACAAATTTATTACCTTAGAGTTATGGAGATCAGAAGTCTGACATGGGTCTCTGTAGGCTAAAACTAAGATGCCTCCAGGGTCGCATTTCTTTCCAAAGGATCTAGAGGACAGTCTTTCTTGGCTCATTGAAACTGCTGGAAGAATTCAGTTTCTTGTGGTTGTAGGACTGAAGTCCTCATTTCCTTGATGGTTATCAACTGAGGGCCATTTTCAGTTTCTGGAAGCCACCTGCATTCCTTGGCAGGTGGCTCCCTTCTTCCATTCTCAAAGCTGGCAATAGTGGGTTGAGTCCTTCTTAAGCTGCTACCTCTCTCCTACCTCTTCTATTGTTCTACCTTTCTGACCCACTCCTCTGCTCTACTCTTTCACTTCTAAGGACTCGTGTAGTTAGATTGGGCCCATTTGAACCATCTAGAGAAATCTTCCCATCTCAAGATACTTAACCTTAATCACATCTGCAAATCCTTTTTGCTATGTAAAGTAACATATTCACATGTTGCATGGATTAGGGCATGGACATCTTTTTGGGGCTGGTGTGTTCTGTTTATCAAGTGAGTAATGGCATACAAATGGGTCTTCCAAGTATGGAGTTGTTATGCATGATTCACATTATGTTCTGGTTTGCAAAAAAAGTGAGCTGTTGTTAAAAATATCCACTCTTACAGACAGATAGATAGATAGATAGATAGATAGATAGATAGATAGATAACACATGACCTTGCATAATTTGGTGTCTGCTTACCCTGCTTACCTCTTACCATTCTTATTCTTTCTTTGCTCAGCTATACATTCTCATTATACTGAACTTAGAGTTCCCCGATAGAGACATACTTGGCTAAATTACAATGTACAAGCAAACAATGGCCAGTCCATGTGTGATAATAAAACTCTGATCCACAAAAGAAACCTAGGAAGCCAAACCACAGCCTCTGCAGCAATTGGTCCAGAATAATCAGAACTTGATCAACATCTGCCAACTTTTCTGTTTTTTGTTGTTGTTGGTGGTGGTTTGTTCCCCTGCTACCTGCTTCCAACTTAGGACCAACCACAGAAAGCCAAATAAGTGATTGCTTGGGATGCCCCTCTTCTAGTTATCTCACCTCCAGCCTCCCTGTGCCAAAAACTTCCAATCAGAAGGTGACTGAAGCCTTCCCCTTCCACTCCTTTTTGCCACTATAAAGCTTCCCCTCTTCCCTGACAGCCTTTGAGTATCTGTCAAACGCAGTGGATGATGGCTGACTCCCTTGGTACAGCAAACTCTGAATAAATAGACTGCTCACATTTAGGTGGTCTTTGTTTATTTTCACACCTCCTTTACTCTTTCATGTATTTGTTTCCTTTTTTTCTCTTCTTGGATCACTTGTTCTTCCTTCCCTTACATGAGTAATTTATATTCATCATTTGACTGTCAGCTTAGATGTCACTAATGACAATAATAACAATGATTATTAAAATCATAGCTAACCTGTACTGAGCCCTTACCTTATGCCAAGAGCTATTCTAACCATGTTCAATTTATCAACTCTTTAAGCTCTTGGAATAAATTATTGAAGTAGGTTTCTATTACTGTCCACATTTTACAGACAGGGAAAGATAATTCAGAGAGATAAAGTAACCTGCCTAAGGTCACTGAAGTAGGTGAAGGAATTGGGGTAGAATGTCGGTAGCCTGTTGCTGTAGTTCATTTTTGAAATCATGATGCTGGGGCACCGGGGTGGCTCAGTTGTTAAGCATCTGCCTTCGGCTCAGGTCATGATCCCAGGGTCCTGGGATTGGGCTCCTTCCACATTGGGCTCGCTCTGCATCGGGCTCCCTGCTCAGCGGGAAGACTGCTTCTCCCTCTGCCTCTCCCTCTGCTTGTGTTCCCTCTCTCACTGCGTTTCTCTCTGTCAAATAAATAAATAAAATCTTTTAAAAAAAGAGAGAAATCATGATGCTATATTGCTTTCAAAATAGATTTTCAAATATTCTCAGTTTGGAACGGGTACTCCATATCCTATGCTTAAATGGTATTCTGCACTTTATCTTTACCAATATAATACTGTATTATAATTGTTTATGAATTTTTTTGTAGTCCCTATTAAAATTGAAGCTCCCTTAGGCCAAGGACAGTATATATCTTACATATGTTTGTAAGTCCAGCATATAGTAGCTTCTCTATACATGTGTATTTGAGGGATGAATAAATTAATGATTTAATGAAACTAATTCAAATGTCTGAACTGGTTTTTAATTAGAGGATACTAAGTTAAAAAAAGAGAGAGGAAGGGACCGTACTTCTAGACAAACTTTGAAAGCAACACAATTCTACATATGAATTTACAATTATTATCCAGGAAACAATGTCGAAATAGGATAGCTTCTCTCTCCTGAGCTTCAGTTTCTTCCATAATCTTAGACATAAAAATCACATGATGCACTAATACTGGTCTCTCCCCAGTAAGTCTCTTCCAGTTAGGAGTTATTATTAGGTTGGACCCAACATCTTCTTGGCATTGATTTCTGAGGCAGAGTATCTCTAAGTTAATAACATTTCTCTGAACCCTGCCTCAATCCTAAAAATTCTCCAACACACTTGCAGTGCTGGAGAATTAGCTGAGAGCAAGGGGTGGCTATGCATTCTCATGGACTACGTCAGGATCTTGAAGCAAAGTCCCCAACCATGTTCCTTAACATGCCAAGCCTCTGGCCAACTGCCCTTGTAACCCACATTCTGGGAGCTCTTATTCATGCTCAGTGGGTCTCCTTTTTAGACTTGTAAGACTGATATATCTGGAGAAGCACCCAGGCAGCCATCAGTTCTGTTACTTTATATTTAATACCACCGAGAACCATTCAGTCGTTCAACTAATATTTATTGAGTATCTACTGAATTCCTAGTATTGTTCCAGGATTTGGGGAACCAGAAGTGAATTAGATAAGGCCCCAGTTATTATGAGGCTTGTAGTCTAGTGGGGTTAAGAGACAAATCAAGCATACAAACAAAATAAATTCAGTAAGTGTGGCCATAACACAAATTTATGTGGTAGCAACTTGCCCAAATGTATCCCTGTCAGAACATATGTGTTCCACGTCTTTTGACATACCCCAATCCCCCGATTCTTCCTTGGAATTTTGAATGTTTCCTTCCAAACTTTAATTGATGATATATATGTAGGAAGTAACAAACCTTATTTTGGATAAAGTTATTTAGGAAATTATTCCTTATCTTTTCCTTGTCTTTACTTATTGTCAGTGTTCTAAAAATAACTTTTCTTCAGTACTTCCCTTTTGTTTTTCTCCTAGGAATTGACTATTACAACAAGATCATTGATGATTTGTTAACTAATGCGGTTACGCCTATAGTGACCCTCTACCACTATGATTTGCCTCAGGCCTTAGAAGACAAAGGAGGTTGGTTGTCAGAGGCAATCATTGAATCCTTTGATAAATATGCCCGGTTTTGCTTCAGTACTTTTGGAGATCGAGTCCAGTGGTGGATCACCATAAATGAGCCTAATGTTTTTGCCCTGCTGGCATATGACTTTGGAATATATCCTCCTGGTGTACCTCACTTTGGAACTGGAGGTTATCAGGCAGCTCATAATTTGATTAAAGCTCACGCCAGATCCTGGCACAGCTATGATTCCTTATTCTGAAAAGTGCAGAAGGGTGTGGTGTCCCTAGCAATTTTTGCTACCTGGGTGGAACCGGCAGATCCCAACTCAGTGTCTGACCAGGAAGCTGCTAAAAGAGCCCTTGCTTTCTGCTTGGATTTCTTTGCTAAACCCATATTTACTGTTGGTGATTATCCGGAAGTTGTCAAGTCCCAGATTGCCTTCGTGAGTAAAAAGCAAGGCTATCCATCATCAAGGCTTCCAGAATTTACAGAAGAAGAGAAGAGAATGAATAAAGGCACTGCTGATTTCTTTGCTGTGCATTATTATACAACTCGCTTAGTCAAGTACCAGGAGAATAAGAAAGAACTGGGTTTTTTCCAGGATGTGGAGATTCAAGTTTTTCCAGACCCAACTTGGATAAGAAGTTTGGATTGGATCTACGTGGTGCCATGGGGAATACGTAAAGTACTGTAAACACTAAGGTAAAACACATAGTTTCTGTTCATGTGTACCCAAATATGTAGAAATGGGAAGACAGACATATATGTGAACTTGGAAAAAGCATGATTTTAGGCAGTAGGTTATACATTTGTTGGCTTGGGAAGAGAGATTAGGATTTAAGTTGGTGAGAAGTAACTAGCTGATAAGGGGCTTCAATACCATGATTAAAGTTGGGATTCTCTGTTAAAGTCAGTTGTGGGCATAGGAATAGCTTGGACATATTTTCCAGGCTGATGTCACAACTGTAATTATTAAAAGGCATATTAAGGACTGAAATAGCTGGATCCTTTTTGGACCTCTGCTATCTGGATGGAGTCCAGGTAGCTGAAATTAAAATTTTAAGTTAATGATTTTTAGGACCCTTGCTGTGGGGGGATAGAGAGTGTAGCTGTTGGTGGGACCAAGGGGTTAAAGAGTAGTGACAATCAGCAGATGCTGCTGGAAGAAAGATATTTCTGTCTTCTCATTATGACAAGAGTCATTTGACTGTCTTCATGGACATTTGCACAGTTTTGCTTTTCCATTGTTAGTCATAAAAGGTCAGTGTGTGGAAAATTAAGTTAATAGGGTCAGTGCAATTTGATGAAAACTAGTTTGGGGTTGTAGCTTAGAGAAGATAGATGGTAAAGCACCTGATTTTATGAGTCTTTTTTTTTTTTTACATCTGTTTGGAATAAAACTGGAATAAAACTTCTGCTCTCTTGTTCCAGGATGCGTATAATAACCCTGTAATTTACATCACTGAGAATGGGTTTCCCCAGGGTGACCCTGCATCTCTTGATGACACTCAGCGCTGGGAGTATTTCAGACAGACATTTCAGGAACTGTTCAAAGGTACCATTTGAAATGATGAAAGATCAATTGTGCAAACTTAATATAATTTTCCCATGTGCCTATTTGCATTCAGCAAAGATCAATGATTTTGAAAGCTGAAATTCATGTAAATCAGTGTAAAGCCATGTAATTAAGAGAGAGGAGAAAAAGTATTTAGGAAAGAGGAAGGTGAGGATTTTGGCCTAGCTTCAACCTCCTAAAATTTAATCAAGGAAGAGACTGTTTTCCGTATTTTGTGACTCCTGGGTGAAGGTGACATGAACAGAGGGTGGTGGCTGTTGAAAGAGAACATTAGTTATTACAAAAAGATTAGCACTGAACAACTGCATCATGCCTATTTACATATTTTAATATGCTAACTATCAAGAAATGAATTGACAGAATTTTTAAAGGATCAAAATTAAGTATTTATGCAATACACATTAAAATGGCCTTCAATGAGTTTCGGCCTAAAATGAGTCTTCCATCACTGTATGTTTCATTTAAGCTGCAACCAAACAGAGCCATTTAGGAACATGTTTTTGTCATATAGAATCTGTGAATTTTATTTCAAGACACGGTTATTATTCTGACAACTGCTCTTTCCCCATGGAATTCTTTTCATATTTGAAAACAAATGTGAAAGAATAATCTTTAACTGGCAACACATATTTTGACACCAGTTAATTTCCCCATTCCAGCATCTACTTGGAACACTGTTGCTTTGTAAATTTAATTTCTCCTCCCTATAAAGGAATCATAGACACAGAAACAAAATCCAATGCAAAAATGAGACTTTCAATTTCCTTTTTTTTTACCATGATAGGCACACTTCTCTCTCATCATTCTATTTGAAAGGTCATAGAATTATTCTATTCAAAATTAATCAGTAATATACTGAAATCAGCCAGAAGGAATTCTGGAAAGTGACACAAAATGGTCTCCTTCCCAACCCTAAAATATATTGTACTCAATCCCTCACTCTGGCTTGGAGTTTATTGGCAGAGGGCAACTGGATTCCTATGATTTGAACCAAATGAAATTCTTTCTCTAGGTAAGAATTCACTTTCTGATTAAAAAAAAGAAAAAAAGGAAATGTCTAGTTTTCTGAGATTCCATTCCCCCCTCTCCCTGTAAATGGCTCTATTCATAGTTAATCCATTGATATTCCCAGCTTCATTCCAAGAGGAAAGTAAGCTAGTTACCAACAGGCAGATGGTATGAGGACCACAAATGACTTGTCCAAAATTGTTCTGTGTATTTTTGGGAAAAGAGAGAAAAATAGAAACTGACTTTCTTCATTTCCAGCATGGTACTCTGTTTAGTACTAACATAAGGGCATTTCATTGTTCTTTGAAATAGTTTCAAGTATTTAATACAGTCCCTTAGATCTTTAACAGTAAAAAAAGGTAGTCAACCCACAAACTAAGACAACTTAAACATAGAAAAATAATTGAAGGTGAAAGTGGAAAATGTGAGAAGATCTGAGTTTCTGAGGGGCAGGGGAGGAGATAGGATTAGAAACAAAATTCTGTTTTTCTACTTGTTGAATTTCAATAGTGTCTTTAAACAGATGGAAAAAGATACCAGGCACTTAAAACATTAATTGTTCACAGTATGTATGTTCTCTTCTGATTTTTAACCTTAGATGATCTATATTCATTGTAATTAGCACATAATATTATATTTGCTTTACATTTTAAAAACGTAGCCTTTCAAATGTGTAGAAATCTACTTACTGACAAAAAAAGATAAGTGTTATCTCTTCTGGAGTGGGTATAGTGATAGCAATTTCTTATATATTGTTGTAGTAGACACCAATTATTTAATCTTGGTGAAACTCTTCTAGTAATTACTCCCTTTTCTTCAAGAAATATCCACCTCTTCTTATCCTCAGGCTTACCACAGGGACAACCATGTAAGTAGAATATAATACCCCTCATTGTTAACACAGGATTGGTTGGTTTAAATGTAGGCACATGACATGAACTGGGCCAATCCCAGTTCTTCACCGAGATTTAGAATTTGGGCCACTTTGTCTCTTAGCCTAGGTTGGGCAGGGGAATATAGCCTTGTAAGCCATTGGTGGCTATGTTCTGTCACGGAAGCTAAGGAGTCGTACGAAGGGGAGCTGCAGGTGCATCGAGGTAAGTGGAGACAAGAAACAGGGAGAGTTTTAGAGTGTGACTAAAGCTTCTAATTCCAGTTTTTCCTCAGACCCAGCTGCACGCATGATCTTTTACTTATAATGAAATGCTCTTTCTGCTTCACCTGAATTCAATTGGTTTTCTATCACTTGGAACAAAAAGAGTGTTAACTGATACCATCATATCACTTCATTTTCAAAGCAGTGAGATGAGGTCATTGCTCCTATTATACAGATGAGAAGACTGAGTTTCAGAGAGGCTAGCTAAGTCATTTGTTCAAGATCACAAAGTAACTAATATTTCCTGGAACCAAGCAGAATGCTGCTACTACTATTTTGGTATTTGATGAGGTCTGTGAGTTCAGGGCTTTCTGACTCACAGTGGTTGCTTGTCATACCATACAGAACCTTTTCCTCACCTTTGGTACTCAGAACTTGCATAGATTCTTCGAAAGGTCTCCATGCTGTCCCTGCAGGAGCCAATAGGTCCTATGACCTTGGACACTGCCCAGACACCCCCTATCCTGCCTCTTGTCAGGGAGTGGAGCTTAATTTACTAATCAGTTTTCTGGGACTCCTTTGAGGTAGCGCTGATGATCTTGATTGGCAAGAACTTTACTAGTAAAAAGCACCCTGTGCGCAATTAAAAATAATAACAGGCCAAGGAAGACATTCGTGGGAAGCGCTGCAGGTGAGAGCCAGTCAGAACCCAGGGAGTCGGATGGATGATGGCTTTGTGATCCCCACAAACAAAACCTTCTCTCTAACATCACACATATGGACAGGCACAGAATGACACTAGAGTTGGATCAATGACATCTGCCTGGAGGTCTTACTGATCTCTTCAGGTACAATCCCACAGCAGTTAATTGAGCATTAAAGAGTAAGCTAATGTTTCTATTTCCTTTTGGGAAGGATAAAGAAAAAAAAAGAAAAATGTCATTTCAAGAAAAAAAAAGAGAGAAATCAGCTAATGCCTTTTTAATCATTGCATTATTTAAATGCCTTTAAAAAGATTGTGTCTTAGTTAATGTAGATATAGATAAGGGAAAAGCAACACAGGAGAGACACGAAAAACTTGCAGTAGCATATAACTAAGCTTACATTTCAGCTCTGCGAATTATTCGATGAGGGGCCTTTGGCAAATTGTTCAACCTCCCAAACTCTCAGTTTGTTCATCTATAAAAGTAGATTAACACTTATCCCTGACAGTGTCATTGTAAAGATTCCATTTAATGAGCTGATATGTAATCACCCCCAACCAGCAATTGCCTGGCACACAGTAGGCTCTCAACCAATGGTAATAATTATTGTTATTACAAAATGTGTACTCTTAAGAACATATTTATCACCCCAAGTTATTTAACTTGTTATTTTAAAAATGTCATCCCAAGACTTTTTTTTTAATTTTCCACCAAGTATTTAAGTTATAGGAGAATATTCCCCCATGTCTGCAGGTTTCTCCATCATTCCTTTTTAAATTTTTTATTGTTATGTTAATCACCATACATTACATCATTAGTTTTTGATGTAGTGTTCCATGATTCATTGTTTGTACATAACACCCAGTGCTCCATGCAGAACATTCTCCCTTTAATACCCATCACCAGGCTAACCCATCCCCCCACCCCCCTCCCCTCTAGAACCCTCAGTTTGTTTTTCAGAGTCCATCGTCTCTCATGGTTCGTCTTCCCCCCGACTTACTCCCTTCATTCTTCCCCTCCTGCTATCTTCTTCTTCTTTTTTTTTTCTTAACATATATTACATTATTTGTTTCAGAAGTACAGATCGGTGATTCAACAGTCTTGCACAATTCACAGTGTTCACCATAGCACATACCCTCCCCAATGTCTATCACCCAGCCACCCTATCCCTCCCACCCCCCACCATTCCAGCAACACTCAGTATGTTTCCTGAGGTTAAAAATTCCTCATATCAGCGAGGTCATATGATACATGTCTTTCTCTGATTGAATTATTTCACTCACCATAACACCCTCCAGTTCCATCCATGTCGTTGCAAATGGCAAGATCTCATTCCTTTTGATGGCTGCATAATATTTCATTGGGTATATATACCACCTCTTCTTTATCCATTCATCTGTCGTTGGACATCTTGGCTCTTTCCACAGTGTGGCTATTGTGGACATTGCTGCTATAAACATCGGGGTGCACGTACCCCTTCGGATCCCTACGTTTGTATCTTTGGGGTAAATACCCAGTAGTGCAATTGCTGGATCGTACGGTAGCTCTATTTTCAACTGTTTGAGCAACCTCCATACGGTTTTCCGGAGGGGTTGCACCAGCTTGCATTCCAACCAACAGTGTAGGAGGGTTCCCCTTTCTCCGCATCCCCGCCAACATCTGTCGTTTCCTGACTTGTTAATTCTAGCCATTCTGACGGGTGTGAGGTGGTATCTCATTGAGGTTTTGATTTGGATTTCCCTGATGCCAAGTGATGTTGAGCACTTTTTCATGTGTCTGTTGGCCATTTGGATGTCTTCTTTGGAAAAATGTCTGTTCAAGTCTTCTGCCCATTTCTTGATTGGATTATTTGTTCTTTGGGTGTTGAGTTGGATAAGTTCTTTATAGATTTTGGATACTAGCCCTTTATCTGATATGTCATTTGCAAATATTTTCTCCCATTCCGTCGGTTGTCTTTTGATTTTGTGGACTGTTTCTTTTGCTGTGCAAAAGCTTTTTATCTTGATGAAATCCCAATAGTTCATTTTTGCCCTTGCTTCCCTTGCCTTTGGCGATGTTTCTAGGAAGAAGTTGCTGCGGCTGAGGTCGAAGAGGTTGCTACCTGTGTTCTCCTTTAGGATTTTGATGGACTCCTGTCTCACGTTTAGGTCTTTCAACCATTTGGAGTCTAT